GAAAAAGTTTTATCGGAAAATCCATCTATCGACCAGGTCGGATTTGTACAACGCTCTTGTTTTTGCTCAAGTATAATCAATTTGTATCAGTCTTAAATAGAAATTCTTCACGATGACTGTTATAACTGAAATCGTATATCACTTCAAATGACCCTTTCAAGCGCAATCAAGTAAGAGTGCAAAATCATTAGCTGTCCCACTAAAGACTCGTACGGGGCGTGAAGATCTGATTTAGGGTATTTCGACACGAACAGTCCTTCTCTGCTCTGCGCTTCCATTCTTCGTGCTATCGCACACATTCCTTGTTTTCATCCGATGTTTTTTGTATACCGATGATGCCAAATTGTGAAAGAATAGAGTCAGAGGAGGTAGTACGTAGAAAGACGAAGTGGAAAATCAGTTTTCCTCTCTCAGCATTATATTGTTTCATTGACATCGCAGTAGTTCTTGTCCATTTTCAAAATCCTGATTCCCTTGACCTACATCAATCATTCAGTCTTAACATACATCTGTAGGCCTACTGATTCTGTGTGTGTTTTTACCATTTCTAATCTTCTTAAAAATTTTTAGTATTATGATCGGATCACGCGAACGATGTTAAATCTCTTGCTCGATGCTTCACAAACTGATCTGCTGTAATCATGTAACATGTTTTCTTGTGATAGCACCGAGACGGGGTACTCGATGGAGTACTCGAGTAGTCTCGAAAGTCTCGACCTCGCATAGTCTCGAGTTTTGAAACAATCGATATAAAAGTGCTGGTATCGAAATTACCAGCACTTTTATATCTATTTTTTTTTGTTCTGTACAGAAGATTTCTGTGATGAGTACGTAATGGATGTAATGTCGAATGACACTCTTCTCAAGTCGATATTTTGTATGATAACTTGTTTTCACTTTCTTCTTACAATTTCTTCTTTACATTTTCTTTTTTTTCCATAAAATAGGTCCACTTTCTGAAAAATGAACGATTTTCTAGAAAATGGCATCGTCTTTTCATAAATTCAAAAACACCATTTCTTGTAAGGAGAAAATAAAATAAATAAATAATGGAAACAAAAACAAATCGAACTGCTTCGGCTCTTGCTTTCTCGGGAAGAGAAGTCGACATATCCTGAAACTTGGGTGACTAATGCCGTCTGTTCTTTTCTGAAAAGTACGACCTTACTGAGTTATCTTTGGCGCATTCAGCTGTAGTCCAGTTCGTGACTATGTGTAAAATGACACACACAAAGAGACTGAAGAAACGTCTTCCGTCACCCACCTCATTCAAACTTCTACTAAATAAAATCGGTTAGTTTAGTCAACTTTATTCATTCAAGAAAGAGAAATAATAATAGTCATTCTACACAAATGCGGCCGGCCATTATATCAGAGGAAAAGGACATGATAAATGATATAAGCTATTACAGAAGGAAACCCCGAAAAACAAGAGACAAAGAAGGGAAAAGTATGTAAGGAAGAAGACGAGAAGAATAAAATGACGCACGCTAAAACTTACAGTATTGTACAGACGTTAAGCAAAAGCGTAAGAACAGTGTAGAGAGTATAACAAATTGATGGACACGTAACGCGACACTTCAATGATCAAGATTTAAAATCAGATTCTGACAATAGGGCTTATACCATTTTGTGTGAGACATTCAACATCGTTTGCAGACATCGCGTACAAAGCGCCTTCAGCGAGCTACTTTTGTGTACCTTAGACACTATCAGGTGTATCACCCGAAGTTGTCTTTTTTATTGATCAATATACTATCATATCTAAAGTTTATTGGTTGAAAAACGTTTTTTCCATTGTTCTTTTTCTGATGATAATTGAAATAATAGTTCATGATTCATGATGTCATGCCGTTATCAAAAGACCGTTTAAGTTTTCATCGAAGTTATTTAGCATATTTCTGCTAACAAATGGTTTGTAGACAACTTTTGACGGGCTATCTAACCAACTAACTTTTATTATGCAGAAAGTCCTTGTTGAGAAAAGTTTGGTAACGCCGTGACAGAATTTTAATAAAATACAGTTTTTCTACCAACAATGGTATTTCCTCAAACCAGCTCAAATTATATACCAATCGATGCAAAATTCACGTTTATCCCAAATATGATTAAATTATTTGATTGTGGGGCACAGCAACCGAACAAATTAAGGAAAATTCGAACATTCGGTGGTAGAAAATTCGAACACAACAGATACGTTACATTAGATTGCAGATGTGATGCTAGACGATTGAAAATGTCATAAACGTATTGTTTATGTAGCGATGTAGTATTTACATGTCTCTTAGGTTGTTCCAAATGCATCCTGGCGAAAGCACGCACGGAACTGTACTGACAACTAGCATTGAGAGCGGGAGCTGCACGGTTTGCGTGGAATTGTCGATTGGGCAACGGGCTACAAGTCTATCTAATTAAAAGTAAACTTTCTCACGGTTTTACTGAGATAATGCTGCCATTTGTTTTAGAATTTTCCAAAGATTTTCCGGAATTTTCTTAATGTTTCTCCGAAGGCGCTACAAAACTTCATAATTCATACAAAGTCGGAATCAGCGTAAAATTTCAAATCGAATGATGCATAATTCATTTTATTTTCAAATTTTTAATTCTTTATGTGATACTCCTCCGAAAAAGAAACGTAAATGTGGTCAAATGAATCAGAATGCTTCAGAAGTTGATGTTTGTTGTAATCTGTATTGATAAAAGTCGAATATTTATCTTTGGCAAAGATATATCACGCTGTTATCAAAAATGCTTTTTGTAACATACTTTAGTTCGATGGCCTTTCTAAGCGACCGTAGCTCATTTTCAGAAAACTGTTTTTCCCAATGTGTAGACCGTAACCTCTTCTACAAATTTTGTCTTGACAGGTTTTCTTTCCTTTGAAGAATGAATTCGCAGAAAAATAGACATTAAGCTCAATGTCTTAAAAAAAGGATCACTTTTGTCATAGTGTTATCGTCTGAAAAACTGTTCTGTAGCGCGCAAATGTAAATGGATTTTCCTCGTTTTTCCAGAATAGATGCAGAATTCTGAGCTGCATAAAATGACCGTAAAACTAACTCTCTAGCTATTATAGTTTTTTCAAAATTACGGAATTAATATGTCAAAAATGTCATGCCGTTACCTTTCTCCAAGCAGTTGAGATGGTTAGTTTAATATTTAAAACGTTTGGTGGCAACTACTTTATTTTCTCAGCAAATGAGAAGATTCTATACGAGTAACTATAAAAAAAGTTTCAGTCATATCGAGACTCGATACTAAAATTCCAACTATCGAAACTTTTCAAGACTAGAGACTATCATATCGAGGCTTCTCGAGACTTTTATTCTCGGTGCATGCCTAAGTACACGAGTTCCAGTAGGCATTTGTTTGGCAAAAAGACTGTCATTCATTACTCTAAAGCTTTAAACCTGCAACGAGACCTAAGCATTGGCTTATTCTACACGAGGAAATGATTTATACATAATTGTCCGTCGAACTCAGATAGATACCACCTCGAAATGTGTTGAAAATATGAGAATATTTTCACCTCTCGAATATGTCTTCAATAAACTTACCCTTTCCAGCCATTTCACTCCAGATGTCCATTGTGACGTTTTCAGGCGCGGCGCCGACACTGTCGAGCGTCAGCACGACGACGACAACGCGTAGTAAATCATTAAGGGTCGCTAGCATCTCACGCGCTCTCTTGTATTTGAACTGCAAAACAAATAAAGCGTTCCATCTCGACATTGAATGAATTTTATCGAGACACCGCAGTTGAAAGATTCGAAAACTTTCTAACTTCACTAGCCTATGTTGAGCACGGACCGATAGAAAAAATACGTATCTTCTGTGTTTGAATCTGTTCTTGTTATGAGTGTCGTAAAAACTAATACTTTTGTCCTTTTTTAACCTTTTCTTATATAAGTAAATAGTAAATAACAAGTTACATATTTACAAATAAACAGCAAATTACAAGTTACATATTTACAGGTAAATAGTAAGTAACAAGTTGTGTGCGTTAAGTTACTATTTCGTTTGTTCATCTCTTTTTAAATAAAAAGGTAGTTATTGAATTATAGTGCCATCATAATGACATCAGTTGTTCAACAGAATGATTTTAATGGCATAAATGTCATGGAAGAGGAGAAAAAGAAAAATAGTAGGTGTATTTTCTACAGAACAAAAGATCTTTAAACATGTAGAAATACTTACGTAATTTGTATTATATAAAATATAATAAGAATGAAAAGAAGAAGATTAAACTTTTGGTTTTTACAGTTGTAACGTTAAGAGTTCTCATTCGTTTTAGAAGATTGCTAAAATCCTTCCAAAAGTGTGTCCACTGTGGAGAGGTTTTTTAAGCTTCTTTTTACAAATAAGTTCTACAATGAGCGGCACTTCGTCGTTTATTGTAGCGATTAATCAAATGCGTTACCCGTTACAAGTAATGATTAATGAAATGCATTACCCGTTACAAGTAATGATTAATGAAATGCGTTACTTTTTGCGCTCGACACGTAAAGTAAATATACCATCCTGTAGCTGTAAAGTTAGAGTTTCACAAAGTTCTTATCGTTCGAGAGAGTGCACATTTGCACAAAGCTATGTTCGATGTGCAAAACAATAAAAGGTCACTTTCATTCAATTCACATCAGGTATAAATCTAAACTTTTAGGTTTTGAGTGAAAATCTTGGTAATTTTCGGTTTGGGTGGTAATTTTTCAACGTGAATTCGAAAAAAAAGTTGAAGTGGTCAGATAGGATTAAAATACATATCAATCGATTCCTGATTTTTTGATCCTGATTCCGAATGTGATATTTTTGTTGTTCAGAAGTTGAATTTTGATCGAGAAAATTGAGAATTACGGACAGAATTCCGACTTCTCTCTGATTTAGAAAAAATGAATTCAGATGCAGTAGTTCTCTGTTCTCGTTGACAGCTGATTGTGAAGTTATGGTAATCTATGTGGTGCTGGTGAAGCTGTTGATGCTGTGTTGTTCGATAATGTATCGTATCAACAAGGTGTCAATGGATACCCTGCTGACATGAAACTGGCTTGTGTGATGATACCACTAGTCGTAGTTTTAGTATCACAAAATGATGCAATTGGTGGAAGAGCTGATGTTTCTTGTTGAAGAACAAGTGTTGAATTTGTGGAAGCTGTGGCATGTATTTTTATTTCATGATGGTTAACAGCATCAAAAACATTTTCATCTTCTTCTGATGACTCATTGAACAGTGTATTAGCACTGTGTACAAGATTAACAAATCGTCGTGCTGACAAAATTGATGCATTGTTCAAGGACCGTCGTAGTTTCTCAGCTGCAATAACTGCGACTGGCGACCAGATTGATGTATTTGAAGCTGTTGTTTTTGTTCGTATGTTTGTATGCTAAAAATAGTGTTTTGCTCATGTTCACATAAAAATGTTTACATAAAAACGCTATAATCATAAAGATATAATAAAACATAATAAGTTTTAGAGTATTGTCGTGTTACAGCTTCAAGGAGCACATGCACTTACTCATCTTCGTCAAAATATGTTATCGCGATAACTGGGATTGGTTTCAGTTTTTGTTAAATTCAATAATAATTAGTATCTCTGTTCTGTTCTTTCTTCACTACTATCAACGTGTTTCATCATTGATGCATGCATAATAACACAGCTACTTCCAATGGAATAGTTACTCCAATGGAAAGAGGTGAGGCAAACTAAAAAGTTTTTCAATAAAGACGAACTAAAAGGCATGCAAGAAGAGGACGAAAATGATGAACAAAGTCGTGCAAAGAATAGAATAAGATCAAATAACTTTTTTAAGAGAAAGAATAAAAAGGAAATAATAATATTCTACATGGAGCTGGCTCATATGGACACACACATGTAAATAAACAGCACTGCACCCCGTTAAAGCGGAAAGTATACAGAAGGCACATAAAAAACGTAATAAAAAGCAAGAATATTCATGCAAAATGAGGTTATTTTTTAAGTGTTACACTACTTAAGAAAGAAGGAGAAAGACTAGTTTAAATGTCCCATGTAGATAATATATACGATTAGAATAAACCAAAAGACAGATGAAATATGAAAGAAGACTAAATATATTTTTTATTTATTTCTTCATACATACAGCTAAGGGATGACAAGAAAAAATTGCACAAAATCATGTGGAAAACAGAAAAATCAGACTTCTTTCTATTTTGCTTTTAATCTGACAGAGTCAGCCAATATTTTGTGGCATACATAAAAAACAGCAGAAAACTGTAAGGAAATGAACCGTTTTTTATCTGGTTTACTAATGAGAAAAAGAAAGTAAAAAAGCGATTAATTTTTATTCTTTGTAGACTGTTCTCGTCCGGATGATGCTAGGCCGGAAGTGCTGCAAGGGACGAGAAGAACATCAGACTTATAAATTGTACATTTTCTTAATGTTAAAATTTGATGATCTTATAAAACTAGTAGTGCTTTTATGTTTAACGTGAGTATAGTGTTCAAGTTTTTACAGCAATCACACCAGTGCACAGATCGTATAGACCCTGTAAATGTTTTGGTCATATCACGGGAACAAAAAAATAAGAGACCGGTCTGATTTGTGAACATCTGCAATTTACATAATATCTAGATGCTCAGATATCCAGATATCTTCCTCTTTTCTTTGAGGGTGGCGAATATCAGGGAGCACCTCACTCTCATCGGGCGCTGCCACACCCACCTTCCCTTTTCCACATTTCTAGAACATCTGAATATCAGAATATCTGAATATCTTAACATCTAGATATATTATGTAAATTGCAGATGTTCATAAATCAGACCCTACTGGTTTTAAGCTAGGTGTACCTCCAAACGTTTAGGAAAAACTTTCAAACAAACTGATGCAAACAGATTTCCATGGGAAAATAGCACTAGTTTAAAAATTTTTCCTAAACTTCTAGAAGTACCACTCGACAAAATTCAAAAATCTTTTGGGTTATCGAGCGTGCTGGATACGAAAAAGCACTTTTCAGCAACTCAAAACCAACTTTATTGTTTTCAGTGATATGTTTAAATATGGCGCGCCAGTTTCAGTTAAAAAACGGAAAGAAAATGTATTTTCGTTTCGTTCTATCAACCATTTTCTAAACATTCCCGAAGATGATGAGTCACTAGTAAGGATTATAGAACCGTTTAGACCAACAAATCCATTTGGGAACTTGTCGAGAAACTAGTCCACTATTTCCAAGTCGGAATTCGCACTAATACAGTGCTCAGACAACGATCATTTGGGATTCTACTGATCGCATAGTTAACTTACATCAGAAACATCTTTCTCATAACCTGAGTTTGTGCTTCCAGCTTTATGATACTTTGTTCATATTTAACACAAGCTTCAGATATAGCACATTTTATGGATTTTATAAATGCATCACCTTTAACAACTTTATGAATCAATTCATCAATATTCGGTGATAATGCCTGTTTTCAGTTGTTATCTGTCATTCGGACCAAGATATCCAGTGGCTTTTTCAGAGAATTTGAAATCGTTTCTTCGTCTGTTAGAGTTGAATTGGATTGTGTAGGATGATTCATAGATACAATATACGATATCAGTTATACGGTAGTAGTTTACATAACCGTCCGTCATGAAAAATAAAGCAGAATGAAAAATAAATTGGAATGAACAAGTATTTAAAAAAATGGTTCCAAGACCAGCGATAGTTTTATCCCATCGTGCTCACGTGGTCGTCCATGGAGCTTTACATGTGTTTAACAGAGAAGATTATGTTGAATTTTTAACGAAAGCATACCTACCGTATTATCAATTTATGGTAATATTAAAACTGCTAGTGATAGAATGGGTCACATTTTTTTCGTATTGTAGCTCATTCCAGATATAGTCATTGCCTATTCCTCTATTCATGTGTTATTATTTTGTTATTCGATTTATGATATCGAAACCAATTAAATTTGTATTCTTTACAATTCAAACATGTTTTAGGAAAATGTTTTGATTCTGTATAGAATGAAAAATTGATCTTTGCTCATGAAAATATTGGAAAACTACTTGAATAGTCTGTGCCTTGATTGAAGTATCTGTTAACTTGGTATATGCCGAATTGTACAATTTGGTGTAGCATGTTATTAGGTGAGAAAACATTGAATATTAGAGATTTTTGTGTAAAATTATTCTTCCATTCTGGCGCTCTACGTTGTGTACAACAATCGCAAACTATTCAAGAATCACATTGTTAGAAGATAGATTTCGGTACCTCTTCAACAAAGAAAAATTATGAGAATAACTTTTTTGGACACGTGGCTTGAGACTGAAGCAGTTGGCCACATGTTGAAATTTACACCTCCACGCACTGTTCAACATTTTTTACACAAAAGTCTTTTAGCACACTAAGCTGTTTTTGCCAGACAACTATCTCAGTAATGCATTCTGAGGCAAAAGGTATTTGTTCTGATACATTTTATTAACCTTTTTTTATTTTGTTTACTCATTTTAGGTGGTGTGTCCATGAAAGATTAGTGATTCTCTCAGACTTAAAGTCAGAGACGATTGGCGCGGTTTTAATCAATACAGTTATTCGAAACAATCTAGTTCCTGTTCTTAGCAATTTTGGTGATACCAGTATTGTGGCATTTATCGACAAGAAATGCACCAATTGCAAGTGTACTTTAAATTACTAAGTATTTTTATCTTACACTATTTTAGAGAATGTCAGCATGTTCAGTCATTTACAAAAACAATTAGCAAATCATTTCTTCTAATGCGCTTGAATCTCAATTAGTAAATGTAATGTCAACATGTCAGAGCAATCACTAATTCATCACTGGCCGAAGTATATTACTATTCACATTCAGAAGCGAAGAAACATTTAGGTAGCGAGCAAGCCACCAACCGTTGTCCCTCTCAATGAATATAATTACCATGGTTCAAATCATTACCTCCAACATACGACGGATTTATAGCAGATGCAATAGCAAAGGAAAACAATACTGGTAACGATCACATGGGACTTGATAGATATTGAATAGGTGTTGATTCGGACAAACAGCCTTGACATTAGTGTGAGCTGACTATATGTTACAGAAATAATCATCGTTTCCTTCTTACAAAGCAACAGTTTTGTGAAGCATTTTTTTCTCGTTTTCTGTGGATTTTTTTTCTTTTCTGTCTGTGTTTCGTGTCGATCCGTCACACTCTGCGTACGGATACTCACACAAATACAAGTACATTTTATTTTATAAGGGAATGAGTGTTAAAATTTCCGATAAAACGAAATTATCTAAAAGAATGTGAACTCTGAACGCTAGGCGACACGTGTGCGCTTTGAATTATGGTACTCTCGTCGCACTGCACTTTCGTCACAGAAAGTTTCGTCATAGAAAAGAATACCTAAACTTTCGTTACACTTTTTTCATGACGAAAGTTTCAACTGTCAAAAAATGCAATGTGAAGAAAGTTTCGATGAGGAATTGGGTGTATTGGACTATGTACATGAGCGAAGAGCACAATCATTGTACCGCTGTATCTGAAAGAGTGCACCGGCTATAAATCAACTTCCACTGAACCGATTTTGATAATTTTTTTTTGTTCTACTTGTCTATGTTTGGTCATTCACTTGTGAAAAAACCAAGGCTCTATCTCTTTTAGTTCCAAAGAAACTGCAGCCACAGCCTCAAAAACCTGGATTTTAGCGCCGCCTGCAGAAAGAAAATCTTTTTTTTCTGTCAGTTTCCGTTTTTTTCTCAATTATTTTTAAGTCAGAATTGTAGAACTGGTCAAGCGCTTTCAGAATATGTAATTTATTTTAGTTTCAGACTAAGTTGTTATGAACGAAAATTGTCATCAATACTCGGTAAGACACTTCACATTTTTTTGTAGGGCGACATTAAAATCATTGCTGTTCCGTATGGGTGAACCTTTAAAAAATTCCTTTTAGTGGATAAGATAGAGAATTGGAAGCATAACAATCTGGCAAAAAAAGAACTTAGCTTCATCTACTGTGTAAGCCGAAAAGGCCCAATCACAATCAAAAAAATCGATTTTCGCACTGAATGTAGAGCAAGCGATATTATAAATTTTGTGCTTGCTATAACTCAATAAAACCTTATCTGTTTTAAACAAAAATTAGTGCATTTTTCAGTCTTATGGAGTAGAGTAATATCCCAAAAAATCAAGCAAAGATCTTTTTTCGTTCGTCAGAAAACTTAGTTTTACTTTGAAAATGTAGAGCGACATTTTTGTGGAAAAAAGTGTAAAGCGACATTTTTCGGAATATTTCTCCCTCAAAACTGAACGACACATAAACATATCATGAAGTGTCGGGAAAACAGTATTTCCATAGACAGTCGACATAGCTATATCAAATGTAGCACTAAGTTTTTTTCCTTGAGCAACTTTATTTATTTCGATTTTTTTCTCAAACGGATACAAAACATGCAAAACATGCATTTGAAAAACACACTTTCTTCTATCAGACTATCTATAAGTTTTGATAATATAGGAAAGGAGAGAAAGATTTACGAAACTAAAAAGTTTAGATTTTCGAGGCTTTGAAGGAAAACTTAAAAACTTCATAAGTTTTCCAAGGAAGGTCGTAAAGAGCTGGGAATGGTCTCATTCTGTAGCCCGGGCGCTACATTAGACTGTGTTCAGCTGAAGATGGAAGTTTTTTCCAAAAAAGGGGGAGATACCCTTAAGCACTAGTCCTGGAGAAAAGTGCAATTTGGTGTCAGTCAGGTCAGAAATGGCATCTCGATCATGAGAAAACTGGCGAAAACATAGAAAATAATAAAAAACTACTTCTATCTTTACAGTTGCTTTATCGTTTAAAAACACAACAGAAAACAACTGCAAGCTATATCAATCTAAAACACAACCGAATAAAATATCCTATATTCTAACTATTTTAGCAGCTAGGATAAAATGTTTTTTTCAGAATTATAAAATAATACGTTATATCTACCTTGTTTAGCATTTTGACCCCAATGTAAATGGAAACTTTGAAATAGAAATACACCAGATAAATCTCCACCACTCAATGTTAACAAGTTATTTTGGGTTTGATTTTGTAATGTTGCAACAATAGTATGTCCATTATTAATTAATATAAAATTATTTGTAGTTGAATAATATGATGAAAAACTAAATGATCGAAATTGATGATTTTCTGTACATGATGTTATAATATTAACAGGACTTTGTCTAAATCCACCACAATTCGGATATGTTAAATACCATATATCGGGGCCTAGCTCAGCATAATTCCACGCTGTATTGTCTATGCAAAAAGTAGATATGCATATATATATGTTATCAACAAAGCCAATTTCACAGTTGGGAATTGGACAGACATTTACAATTATCATCTTCTCAATTCTGAGTATGAGAGATAAAAAACAAAAAAGGGCTCAGTTGAACGTGAGGATACTTATACACAAATATTCGAGAAAAAAAGTAAACTAACGACAAAAGCGAATAAAACCATCAGGTGGGTAGTGGAACAGAAAAGAACTTCGAGTATCCATAACCATCATATTCGCACACCTATAATCATGCTTCACTTGTCATAAGATGCCTTTTTATCGCTCCTATTAAGTAATATGTTTACGTATTGCACGCAATCAGACGCCTGGTCAAGTTCAATTTTCTCATGTTCAGGTATTTTTCAGAACTTATCCCAGAACATTACCTTTAAAAAAGGTAGTGTTCAAATACTTCTCAAATAATGTTGATATATATTTTGTTCATTCTTGTTGGATACTTTGTTTGTAGAAGTTCTTACCCAGAATAGCGTAATTATTTATGCGAAAATCTATTTGGAGTTTATTTAATGAGATTTGACAATACTCCCGACAGTACATTCAATCGACTTACAGGTAATGGACTTAGTGAACCGATACGATTCACGTTATTTATAGCCTTTCACTTAAAAAGCGTTGAGATGGTAAAAGTGTCTCTTTGTGACGATAAAGAGCTGTACTAACTTGATTTTTCTTATTTTTCAGTTTTTGCCTGAAGTTAAAGAATTATTAAAATTTACACAAATTTCGGTTTTTCTATTGAACAGTTTGGAGTATTCATTCTCTATACTGGAAACATGTTTAAAGTATCTCGGAATCCAGAACAATGTGCACAAGGAATTTTACGCCCGGAATAATAGATACAGAAATGCGTATATCGGACTTTTGCGCACGAATAAATGGCAAACTTTATAACAAGTAAGTATAGTTGAACAATAAATTGTCATTCAAAACGTAATAAAACTATCAAAACAGTAGTTATCCCATCATAAGATATCATCATTTTTGTTAAGCACTGATATGCTTTATCATCAGAAAAGTTATTTTAAAAAGTCTGTATAACGTTATAATGGTTCATATGCACTTCGAAATGTGTAAAATCGTTTTCTCTACAAAATGTGATCATAAATAAATCGCAAAAGCAGTGGGCCAAAATCGACGAAAAGCGGTACCCCCCTCCTTTTGGCACTTTTTGATGTTTAGTGCTTTTGAACAGTTTTCTCTCTTAAAAATCTTTTTGAAAAATTAAAACGTGCATTTTCTTACTCAGCGCACTGCGCTCTATTCAATCATGTATAAATCAATCATAAGAACCTTGTGGAAATTTCGAATGTCCGATACCTTAGTTGTTTGCAATTAAATTGCGTGACAGGTAGAAAACAATACGAAAAACATTTCTACGTTGCTTAAAATAAAATCAATAAATTGCGATAAAGTCTGAAAATAAAGAACATGTTTGTAGTTTTTGTTATCAAAACAAGTTCGAATTTTCAGGTATAATTATACGGACAATGACGATTTTTTGATGAAAAAACTGATCGACAGTACATCATAGACAAAATCGAAAATTTCATTTCACTTTGATGAACTGAGGCGAAGCTAACACACTGAAAAAAGGAAACCAAAATGTGAATTTTTGAACTATGTTTGAAATAAATTATGAAAATGAAGACTGAAACTATTTTCAAATCGACTCCTCAACTGAGCTTTGCACACGGAATGATCGTTATTGTCTAAGTACTTTGCATTATGATTCATAATTTACTTTCCAAAGAATAAAGTATAATATAGTTTAATTTAGTCTTGATAAATATAGTTCAAGTGAAGTAAAGTAAGAAATAATAAATAAAGCAAAATATTGCCATATAAAAGCAGTAAAGGAATGATGTTGACGATTGTGGTTGTTGCTTATTACAACAATAATATTGATCTGTTAACACTGAATCATCTTCTTTTGGATAACTTCTCAGCACTTTCCGATTATTTAGGGATTGTGGTTCTCGAAAGTCTTCAAAAAATACATGTTTGTGTAATAATTCTAACTCATCATCAGAAAATTCTATTCCGCCATGAAATATTATCCAGATGACATTTTCAGAACATGGTGGTGTTGTTAGACTATAACACAAATACAAACAGTATATGTAGGATTACTCTAGAAGAAAACTTTTTTTTGATATACTTCACTCATGCACAAACTCTCTTTTTCTATCGTACCAGTGTGCACTGATATTATACAGAAGATGTCACATCGGTCTTTCAGTATGAAAACTGAAGATGCTATACAGTTATCTGCATATGTTGCATCTTGTGTTATTCCAACGTGTGCTAGTGATTGTCTAAAAACAAATAACCATTTCCACACTGGTATGGCACAGCTAGTACATTAGCGCACTATTGCCGATGAAACATTGCATTGCGCCGGCATGCCACATTTTATTCTACTCAAGTGGCACTTGCTGTGAAAACTGAATGTATTTCATTTAGATAATTACATACCTTCCATTATACCACCAAAAATCTTGGAAAGTATTCGTTTGGGCGTACATTAATGCTGACAAATTCCCTTCAAAGGGTGTTTGATAACCAGTTGAAGTTAACGTTACAGCTTTATCAACATATGTACGCCATTCTGTATCTTCACGCCTAGATTCAACGATAAAAAAGCTTAAGACAGCCAATTGATTTGTTAAAGGATTTTGATGTACAAAATGAGCTTCGCCAGCATATTTTTTACCATTTATACGATGTTCAGAGCATAAAAATAATAATGGAACATTATGAATTTATAAGGAAAAAATTTCTTTCGCCAACAAATCGATACACTTATTTTTTCTCTTGTTCTGTAATGATGAAGAAAATTAATTCTAGAATGGAAAATTCTCGCTTATATTCTGTGTTTGTTCAACACATGTCTTTTACGCGATTTTCCGCTGTCTTCTTAACCTGTACGCTGTTTAGCACAATATTCAAGCTATATTCGAGAAAAGACGCATTAGATATCACGTGAAATTTGTATAAATTTCGTTTCATAAATTTTTCTGACATGATCTTCACTCTTTGAGAGCAACAGAAGGAATAGGGTCAAGTTTGCCACTTTCGGCGTAAGTATTGTCTTTAAGTAAAGGTCTGTTACTTCATTTTAGCACGTCAAAGTAGTACCGACATTTTTGCTTGTATTGTGGTTATTGAAAATGTTAAAAAAGGTAATAAAAAACATCGGATTAAAAGTAAAAGACTGCTAATTTCAATATGGTCATTGCAATTTGAATATAAAAGAAAACAAACTGTGGTCAATCTTCAAATGAAAAGACAACATGATTACCTTGTGAACAAGATATTAAGGGTAACCCCCTTCCCTCTTTTTTCGCCTCGTTGCCAAATACGGAGCACACGTCCGATTGAGCTCGAATTTGTAGAGCGACATTTTTGTGGAAAAAAGTGTAAAGCGACATTTTTCGGAATATTTCTCCCTCAAAACTGAACGACACATAAACATATCATGAAGTGTCGGGAAAACAGTATTTCCATAGACAGTCGACATAGCTATATCAAATGTAGCACTAAGTTTTTTTCCTTGAGCAACTTTATTTATTTCGATTTTTTTCTCAAACGGATACAAAACATGCAAAACATGCATTNTATTAACAGGACTTTGTCTAAATCCACCACAATTCGGATATGTTAAATACCATATATCGGGGCCTAGCTCAGCATAATTCCACGCTGTATTGTCTATGCAAAAAGTAGATATGCATATATATATGTTTATTGGGTCCCAATAATATTGGCCACTCAATCTATTGGGACCAATAATTATTGGTCGTCCAATATATTAGATTTTCGCAATATTATTGGGTATGGGTCACTTGAGTTCGGTCTACTTTTACCGTACGAGATCATGCTTTATATCCCGTTTTGAATCAAAAAATAACCCAGTTGGGCATGCACCGATTAATAATCAATATTAGGGCATTCAGCAAAGTCGTTCCAAATCAGTTTTAAAATACTCTCAGAGCTGCCGAACGCTTCATTTTGAAGGAGAATGTTTTCTCTACCAAACTGAATTGCTACAAAATCTTAATGTTATATATACAATAAATCGAAAACGCACTATAATCATAGAAAAATAATCGCCCGTCGCTTTTTCCGCAATTTTGCTCAGTTTTTGATGCTTTACTTCTGTCGCAGATAACACTAAAATGCCTTCTTGCACTTTAGTTTGGTAGAGCAAACATTTTCCTACAAAATGAGACATTCGGCAGCTTTAAGTGCGTTTTCAAAACTAATTCGGAACGCCTTTGCTGGATGCCGGTAAATGATATTAAGGTTAAAAGTTGGAATCCAGTATATTGAGGAACCCCAATATTATTCAATATTAGTGTACAATATTATTGAGTGACCAATATTATTGGTCCCAATAGATTGGGTATACAATGATATTGGGACCCCATATTAGTGGGTAGCCAATAATATTGTACAATATCTTCAATAATGGTTGGTATTGGTGCATGCCTAGCCAAGCCACTTCTTAGATAACTGAGTTTTCTTATATCTGTTCAGAGCTAGGCAAGTCAGGAGTTTTGCAAGTCACAAGTCAAGTCAAGGTCAGAAAATTTTTTCTCTCAAGTCAAGTCATTTCTTGAAATTTTTTCCGCCAAGTCAAGCCAAGTCTGGTTAAAATTAGGCAGAACATAAAATTTGCTAGCACTTTTTTGGGTCAGAGAGTTTTTCCAGCCTTACAAACTCTCTTTCATGGTAGAAAAAGTCTAATTTAAACGAGAATCTCTTACTAGGAATGACTTGACTTGAAAAAAATTTCTTAAGTCAAGTCATACCCTCAGAAAATTTTGGATCAAGTCAAGTCAGACTTGACTTGACTTGGATTTGGGCATTTTTCACTTGACTCTGTATCTGTTAACCGTTATTCATTAATTAATAGTTGTCGTCATGGCCTTCTGGTACAAAGTGCATTATACATCATTTCGCTATGATGAATGAATCGATTTTCAAAAACGTGTCATTCATCTTGAGGTTAGAAAGCCACTCATGTCAACAGTCATGCTATTTTGGCTACAGCTCTAATTAGATATGATAAGATCACAGTTTTGATGTCTATAAAAATGACTTTCATCAAAAACATCTGTTCTGGATAGAAAAAGTTTTATCGGAAAATCCATCTATCGACCAGGTCGGATTTGTACAACGCTCTTGTTTTTACTCAAGTATAATCAATTTGTATCAGTCTTAAATAGAAATTCTTCACGATGACTGTTATAGCTGAAATCGTACATCACTTCAAATGACCCTTTCAAGCGCAATCAAGTAAGAGTGCAGTACAAAAATAACAGTTTTGAGTCAGATTTCACGAAGCTTTTCAGGAGCAGATAATGTACAAGACCGAGAAAAAGGACAAGAAACAGCATCTAAAGATATCCCTTGTACCGCAAGCGCAACGGCCAAATTCTCTCTCCAACACACGAAATCTTCTTGATTTTCTGTTCCAATTAATAGTTAGGATATTAATACTGTCTGGAATCTAATCAGAGTGGGAGTTCCACTTTGTTACGATATGCCGCTGATCCCTTTCACCTGATGTGACCTATCATCGCTAATGATCTACCGTATGCTTTCTATTAGTCTATTTTCTTGATCGAGCATTTTTCCGTAGTGTAGTTCAATCGAAGAAGCAGAATCATATACTTAATTTTATTTCAAAATCATTAGCTGTCCCACTAAAGACTCGTACGGGGCGTGAAGATCTGATTTAGGGCATTTCGACACGAACAGTCCTTCTCTGCTCTGCGCTTCCATTCTTCGTGCTATTGCACACATTCCTTGTTTTCATCCGATGTTTTTTGTATACTGATGATGCCAAATTGTGAAAGAATAGAGTCAGAGGAGGTAGTACGTAGAAAGACGAAGTGGAAAATCAGTTTTCCTCTCTCAGCATTATATTGTTTCATTGACATCGCAGTAGTTCTTGTCCATTTT